GACATTGGTTCAAGCTGGCAAATCATCTGCATCAAATTCATCTAAATTGTTTGATTATATTATGCATTGATTCTCTTTTTGGTTATTAAATGTTTATTCATGATATGATAATGAAATATGGCAGGACTTAATTTATGGCAGGACTTAATTTGGGACTTTATTAGTCCTGTTGTCTGTGCCTTCAATTTCTTATTGTAAAACTAATAAAAAAAATAAATAATGGTGATTAGTGTTACATTAAATAAGTGTACTTGATTCAAATTTTGTTTAATATGTGAGCCAAAGCTAGAGATGAGGTAGTCTAGATCTGAGGCAGTAACATAGCCAATGCCACTAGTCCAATGAGTGGATATGTTGTCTCCCTAATTCATACTGGCCCGCGTAGGTACCCCATTGCCTGATGGCTAGTGGATTTTATTCAGGGCAACCAATTTTCATGTCCAACTTGCCCTGAGGGCAAGTGGTCAAAAAAGTTAAGTTACACCACTGATGCTGTATACAAATTATATACCTGAAAGGTAACTTACATCATATTGTGTCATTTAAATACTAATACTTGTATTCTCACAGTGTATTAAGATGTACAAATGCACTTGTGATGCCCAATGAATTGCCACAAAAAAAACCATAAACCACAAATCAGTCAATTTCAGTAAGTAGGGCACACTGGGGCACATTGCAGCTCAATGGGTTAACTAGGGACATTGTCAGATTTTGGTTAATAACCATAATTGCAAGAGGTCAGTACAGTCTGTAACAATAAGTAATTCAGGAATTCACACAATTCTCAATAGCAGTCAATAATTTCATGTTAAATGATTATCGGATAATGTTGAGCATCAAGAATATATGTATAATATTCTTCATACATTTATAATAATATTCAGGCTAAATATCATAGTTATTATTTTATGTACTATAGTTTTATCAGGTATAAAGATACGAGGTGAAGCCAAGTATCTTAAGGTCTGATAAAGCGTACACTGCGAATGTTTTAAATTGCTCAACTGATGGTCACCAACAACAAATAGTACTTTATTACAAGGCGGCAAAATGTATTTAAATTAAAAGAGATGAATAATCTTGTCACTTGATACATTTGACACCAGGTGTCTTGTATTTGTCCATAAGAGACCCCTTGTTATTGTATCATGTTTTGAGAATGAGTTCAATTTTGATATTTGTTGTTGATCTGAGCAAAATATTGATTATTGATTTGCCTACTGAGGCACACAGTATTGAACAGTCAATTGTGGTGAGTGATGCTGAACTGCCTGGTGTATGTTGTGAGTGATTTTGAGCGCCTGTTGTGATGAGTGACACTGAATTGCCCCAATTGTGGCTCAGGAAAAAATGTATCTGCTGACTTGTCAAATAATCTCCTTAAATAATGTTCTGGGAAGTAATTTGTGTAATTGATTACAAACAAAAACAAGGGCTTGTTAACAGTATAATGAGGAAATTAATTCCCTCTCATTATATTATTCAGCCTTGATAAAGCATATGGAGGCTTTCTGTCTGATTTGACCCTCGTGCATGTAATCGTTTGGGAATGCCTGATCATTAAGATCACAACATTTGTTGTGAAGCTTGGCCTTTGAAATCTAAACTCAAAGCACTATATGTGTGTTCACAATGTTCTTGGGATAAGAACGAAAATCAAATAAAATATTTCAACTCAATTAAATTCAGGAAATGTTAATTAACCATGGCGGTCAACCAGGTTATACTCAGGGCATATGGCTAACATAAGCATTTAAATTCCAAGTGCATACGATGTTGACATTCCTTGTTTTTCAGACATTCTTTGGGCCTTGTACTCCCTTTAACTGTTAAATATACTGTGTGATATTAACATTTGCAAGAAAGATCTATTGTAGCAACAATAACTATTAAATGTTTTGATGATCATGGATATGGTGTATTGAGAGTCCATATTATTAAATTAAAGTGATTTTACATATCTGTTTCACAATCGAGGCAGCAATTTCCTTGCGACAGTATAAATTCATAGTATAAATACTTCTATCGATCCATTCATTTTGCACTGTTGCTTTGTATATTTAATAGATCTGCTTTACAGTTCAACCAAGGTTCTCAGAGCTAATTTGAAGACAATTTCAAATTTATTCAATATTTTTGGAAGAACTTTACCAGATTTTTTCATTTCAGTTAAAATAGATTTTTGTTCTTTATTTCTCGATTTCGGTGTTTATGCAATATTGACGAATATATTGTAGCTAAAGCGATCCGCGATCGCACCCCCCTGTATAGTATTTGCTCCGATATATCACGAGACAAAATAATCCGCAATTTGTGGATTATCATCCTCGTCCCCAGGCCCAAGCTCGGGCGGCCCTCACAGTGGCCCTGGTTCAGGCTGTTGAGCTGCAGCTGGATTCCGACGCAGAGGCTTGGTCGCACAGCATATATATTTCTCCTTAAAAACATGGCGACCGCGATGAATGCGACTGTACGAGGAAGGCAGAAGCAATATATTTTGCACTTGCAAAAACAAATAATGCTCAAATTAAGTTAAAGGAAGAGCAGAAAGATGCTATTCGTCAAATAGTAAATGGAAGGGATGTTAAATCGTTGATTTACCAACTTTTACCGTCCATGTTCGATAATTTACATTATATGATTATATTATAAATTCGAGAAAAAGAAATATTTCTGCCGTGTGGCCAGAAACAATTATAATCGTGATTTCCACGTTAAATGCACTGATGGGCGACCAAATAGACAAGCTAAAAACTGACATGGGTGTTAAGGCAGTTGTTTTACGCCATGCCCATGATGATCATGATCATTCATTTTATTTTTGTATACGTATAAATATGTATAGACGGTAAATAGACCCCTTGCCTAAAAACCAACTGGTTGGAAAGTTTATTGAAAATATAATTAGCATCAAGCAATCACTATTAAGTGTACTTACTACTTGCCATGTTGGGGTCTTGGGGAAATGTTTCCCTTATTTTTCTGTTAATATCAGCAGCTATCAAAATGGTATGCATTATTAATATCTGTCGTCACCATACTTACCCGTGTGGATGGTTAGGTGCAGACGTGGTCAGCTGATGATCTACAGATTTGAGTTACTTGGATTCAGGTCCGAATCATGTGAACCTGTCCATTCAGGACCTGACCACCGAACGTCTGCACCTTATCACACCGAACTAACTGTTCGATGGAAATTAAACCGAACGTCAATTGCAGTCTTGAAAAAATTTTTTTAGCTTCTCTAAGCAGATTATTATTGCAGTTGGCTATGAATTAGTGACCTGTGAATCCGCTTGGCACTCTCTAGTCTCTCTATATCCGATATCCTGAAGGCACTGTGCACGGTTCCTACGATATTAACCTTGGTTACTATGTAACCTCATTTAAATAAATTTATTTGTCTTTTTACAGCTTATGTATCAACAAAGTATGGATGTAAGGCCTCAGAGGTTTGCCAACACATGAGGACAAAAACAACACTGTAAAGTGTTGCAGAGTGCAGAAAAGCAAACAAGAACAATAGTCAAAAACAGAAACACCAAGCTAGTTATTAAAAATATTATTGCCCAGCAAATAATTTGTAAAAGGGGCATATTCAAAAAAACATTTGATATATAAAAATATTTATTGAGTAATGTTACAAGTGACTTGTCACTTGTTTTGAACTAGAATAGTCAATAACTTATTTGAGGACTATGTTTTGAGGCAAATTTTAACCCATTGAGCCACAATGCGCCCCAGTGCACTCAGGGCTGTAAGCAGGATTTATTCACCAGAAGGCCTATATACTGAAAAAAGTCCCAAATATCCAAAGAATAATTAACAACATTCTAAAAATCGTTAATATAATATGCCTGCCCCCCCCCCGGCTGTGTACGTCCCTGAGTGCACCCTACTTTTTTTTTACTTGTCTAACACCAGACAATTTTACTCATCAATGGGGAAGCTCTGCAGCTTGATGGGTTAACCAAAAAATCTGACAATGTCTCTAGTTAACCCATTGAGCCGCAATGTGCCCTACTTATTTTTTTACTTGTCTAATGCCAGATGATTTTACTTGTCAATGGTGAAGCTTTGTGGCTTAATGTAATTAACTTTACATGTCAATTATGGTTATTACCTATGGTTTAATAACGAAGGTCAATAAATATAGCATTGCATGGAGGTAGAATGATTAATTGGTGCTTGTGTACATTGCAATGTAGACTTTCCAAAGTCCTTTCCAGACCCTTCTATGGCGCGCTTCACTTCCTCTGTGGAAAGGACTTTTGTCACTTGCAGCACGCCAAATATCACCGGTGGAAAAATCCACCGGTGACGTCATTGTTTACATTGAAGGCCGAAGCGGTTACGTTATCGGTCATTTTAATATATCGAAGGAGTCTAGCAATAATATTATATTCTCAGACTTTTTTGTTAAACAAATGTGTATTATTGAAGCAAACAGAGTAAATAATGTAAATACAATTTTGTAGAACACAAAAACGATGTGAAAATACACAAACAAACATTACATTGAGTATAAAGTACAGGGTGTAGATATAAACTTTAATACTGTCATCGAAGATGCATCTGATGATTCTAAAATTTCCTCACTAGTTTCAGGTTTAGTTTGGGTTTCTTGATCTCGATTACTGATTACTACAAATTCGTTTGTTGAGAAAACAACGCGAATTTTTACTGGATTTGGAACTCTAGCGACGTCTTTAGTTGATCACAATCGCCGCCTCTCTGCTTCTTGGTTACAGTTGTCTGATTCTTTTCAATTAGATTAACTTCTACTACGTTAAATCGCTGGTGAACTGAATCAACTTTCTATAATAAGTCTAATAAATTATATTACTATTCTTGTAGACACAATTACGGCACACATTGTTAGAGAAACACTGTTCAGATTCAATAAGTTTTTACATGCACTTGTTTTGTTGATACATTGAGTCATAGCATAGATTTCGGCGCCGTTACTTAGGTCAGTTATTTCGTTTCCACACTTGGTGCAAACTGTTTCATTCGACGACAAAGAAATATCAATTCTTGAGAATGTTTTTGTGTTAATTTTGTAGACCCATTGTCGGCGCGGTGAAGTAATTGACAAATTGTATGAAATGTACACACCCCTTTTATGTCAAAATTATTCGCGCCAAAATTTTAAATGCGATTTAAATTCCTGCAAGGGACACAAGTCGACCACTCGCGACTTCGTCGCTCGGGTCGCGCGCTCCCTCCCCCGCGCTCTCCCCCCCCCCATGGTCGACTTGTGGCAAGTCTAATTGCAATGGTTTTCTTTAGGTTATGTATTGTTTTTGTTTTGACTTGTTATTAAACCATTGGTGAAAACTATAATTGATCTGTAATGTTTAGTATAACCAATTTCTTGTATAAATATTTATATTTGTAATATTAGTATATATGTATTAATAACTTTTTTGCATTAGAAAATTAAGATTGATGACTGATGAACAACATTGTGTGTCATTTACTATTCCTACAGGAAATTAGGATAATTTTCCTATAGGAATTCCTATAAGATGATATGTCATACTGCAAAACCTGAATAGTCAAAGTGATGTACTTTCCAGAAGGGTGTATTTGTTTAAAATATTTCAGTGACAGTGTTAAATGAACTTTAGCAACAGGTAGCTAAAATGCTTCTGAGACTTGACACATAACTGGTTGTCTGGTTAAATTACTTAACATGCTGTATTCTCTAAATTTCAATATTTCAATAGTTTGGATAAATAATTTAATTCCATCCAGAAAATCCCTTCAATATTTTGTGTGTGAAAAGCCAGCTTTTCACCATGGGTATTAAACAATCGAGCGTATGGTTCTCAAACAACACTGGTTCCATTGTGAACTGTTCATTGTGATTGTGCAAGCAGAACAAAATGCTGCCATTCACTTTGTGAATCAATGACTTGATAAATACTAAATTTTCGTATACTACATTATAAATTAAACTCTTCAAATTGTCAAATACAAAGTACAAAGACAGGTGGAGGGCGACAATTTACACAATAATCTTGTAGACGTTGCATACACAAGATATAAATTTCTATAGTGCATGAATTCATGTGTGACTGATATCTGAGTCTTCAACTGTAAAATATATATCTTTATCATTCAATTCGTTTTAACTTTCAAATGTATTTAATCCTTCAAATATCCACGTAGTTGGTTTCCAGAAGTCTTGAATGTGTCCATACCATAGTTTAAAGGCACAGTTCAGCCTTTTGAACGATGGTTTTTAAGGCGCATTTGAGCCCTTTTAATTGAAAAAACTAACTAGGAAAATCAATTAAGCATAATTCAAAATCAGTAAACTCGATGTTTTTAACAATATAAATGTTTTAAAATGTTAAAAACATTAAGTTTGGTGATCTTGAATTATGCTTAATTGATTTTCCTAGTTAGTTTTTTCAATTAACGAGGCTGAAATGCGCCTTAAAAAACATCGTTCAACAGGCTGAACTGTGCCTTTAAGCAAAAATTTACATGTAAATATCTGATTTCTACCATAATTTAATACAAGTTTATTAAATTGCCACTCTTCGCGCCAGCCATTGTTTATTGTTAACCCGCATTTCCTTCCCACCCGCAACATCCCTTTAGAGCAAAAGAACCAATCACAATCAACTGCTCAACAGCCTGAACCAGGGCCATTGTAAGGGCCGCCCGAGCTTGGGCGTGGGGACGAGGATGGTGGATTATTTCACCAGCCTTTACCTTTACCAGGGCCTTTGCTGCCCTTCGCCTCCTTCCTCAAAAGGCCCTGGGGATGAGGTTGATCCCAGGGCTTCTGAGAGCAATAAGCGCAGAAGCCCTGGGTACGAGGTTGGAAAATACCATAGAAACAATCTCGTTCCCCGAGCCTGCGATCCTTGGGAAGGAAACGAAGGCTCTGGGATAATCCATGTCAGACATACAGAAAACTGTATGTCGACCGAACTGCGCATGCGTTGCCAAAAGCAAAACAAATTGTTTGAAATATTTTATTGTTTCGTCTATAAAATGATGATTTTTTCTGGGTTTTGGTGGAAATGTTGATGTTCTTCATAGTGGGTACAAAAGGTGTGTTAGTGACTGAATAAGGAAAATATTGCGTGTGAAACAGGGTCAGTATAGAGCCGGCAGGAGCCGCGAAGAGTGCTGTTGTCGAAGAAAAATGTCACAATTAATTGTAATCTTGTCTATTCCGGCCTCTGTGTCAGTTTGAAAAAGCTTTAAATGGTAGAGACATTTGTGGTTTCTCCAGCATAATTTAGCCGTTTAACGCTATTATGTTTCTAATGGTTGAAAGAGCGCGTGTAAAGGGCAATTTTCAAGAACAAAAACAATTACAATGTACTGTGTGTTAATTGCTACTCAGCTACTGTAATATTAAAATACCTGAAGAGAGTCTCAATTCTAATATTAAGTCGGTTATAAACCTTGATAATATTAAAGTTTTCAGAAGATTTGTATATCAGAGGAATATTATAAAAAGGAATTTAGACTTATAAAACATATCATTAAAAATATGAATATAGTGAATTCCATGTTTGTATTGTGTTTATATCATCTCTAGAAATTAACAGTTTATAAACCAAATCCTTGTTATATTTTTTAACTGCCCTTATAGCTTTCCTTATATGTTTTAATATTTGCAAGCAGTTTAGTAGGTTAGGGATGCAACAGCACTTTTCAAAAATTATTGAATTGTAACCAAATTTTGTGTCTGGATAGGAAGTACTATTTATTTTACAAAGATTTACAGTTTGTAATGATAGAGTTGGAGCAAGTTAAGCTGCAATGTGCCTCAGTTTGCCCTACCTTGTTATTTTAAGCTGTTTAACGCCAGAATTTTTTCTTGTTAAGGGAAAGTATTGGACTTGGTATTTGAATGGGTTAACCAGTCCATCTGCATGTCTACCTATCTTTGGTTAATTATCTCATTAGATCATTAAGCCACAATGCTCTTTAGTGCACCCTATTTTGTTATTTCACTGTACTTCTGGACAGGGATGGATCCAGCATGATCTGGTAGGGGGGGGGGGTGCCTCTGGTGCCGAGTTGTGTTGGTCATGTGTGCCGCCCGCCCATCAACTACTGTATTTGAATTGTAATTGTTCACAGTTCACTTATCATCATGTTATTACTCAAATTACTGTATCTCATTTTGTCTTTTTTGCTTTATCATGAAAAATAGCACCTCCCCTGCAACATCTCTGGCCAGGGCTAGGGGGGATCCATCCCTGCTTCTGGACAATATTTCTCATCAATGGCCAGAAATGTACTTGACTTCATGTTGATTACTGCCATTAATTAATTAACTACTGTACTAAATAGGACATTCAAGGTTGGAGATATAATAGCAATAGAGGTTGCTAGCTATCATTGTAGCATTCAGGGGCGTCACTAGCCCAAATTGTCAGTCATTTGGCAATTTATTGTATCGCAATCAGGAAATTGTTTTCGTGGCCAGCATGATTTGAATTGGATAGGAAGGGAAAAAACTGAAATATATGAGTTTTTGTTGCCCATCCCCTTCTCAGAGTAGGTATGTGTTGTTTTATAGTGTAAATAACAAGTTTTGATATTGCAATCAAACTGACAGGGTAGTTGTCATGACCATGGTAATAAAAATATTTCTATGGCTCGGCATTTATATTGGGCACTTTTTTATCATTCATCACAAAATGATACCTGCACCCTAGGTGGTTCCCTACAGGGGGTCATAACCAGGGGGAAGCTGATGAAAATGAATTCTGGTATTGGTGGCTGCATGATCACTATCATTTAATATGAATAGAACATTTCTTAAAAAAAAGTATATGAATTTATTAAAAGTATTTATATGGTCTCCCAATCTGGAATTCATACTTTGTAACATCTGGATCAAAAAGTTTATGACGTTTTCTTGGACAGAATCCAATTAATACAACTTCGTACAGAGGGCAGGGCTTCTTTGAATTACTGTGTGGACAAGATTAACAAAGGGATTGCCAATTTGGCATATTGTGCTACTCAATAAATTAAAATCATTAAATACTTTATCCTACAATTAGCTGTCAGTAATATTATACTGTATGTTATTGTGTTTCATATGACATCATAAATTTGATGGGTGGTCAACTCTAAATCGAGACACAGTCATCAGAGGGAATTAATTTTTCACTGTATGTGTTGGCCTTGTGTTTCGTTGCAAATACATGCAATTTCATGTCATTTGCTCACTCCAGTACAACATAAGCATCAATACATTTTTTACGTTGACCCCCTGTCAGAACCAATGACAGAACGTGCAAAATGCCATAGTGAAATCCAATAATTCATTATATGTATTATGCACTTATCAATGTTAAGCCCCAGAGGAGGGTGGTCAGGCATAGGTGGGGCATTTGATTTTTAGAGCAAATTTTCAATCAAATGTCCCACCGTCGGGCAATAAATATTAGTCAAATGCCCCACCATTTTGCAATAAATAGTATGTTAATAAAAGTCATTTGGTTCAAATTGCCCCAACTTGGGGCCAAAATGCTATTCAAAATCCCCAGGGTGGGGAGAAATTGATGATCAAATACCCCACATATACCCGACCCCCCCCCCGACCCCCTCTGGGAGTTAACATTGATAGGTGCATTAGGTGTATGCAGACTGGAATACAAGTTTAAAATATCACTGCCTGTGAAATTGTGGTTTATTTAGAGAATAATGGTTTTTTGAACTCTTCTATAAATAAATTATAACAGCAAAAGATTCATATGCACCCATATAGGGAAGGGCTACATGCTGCAAGTTAAAATGAGTATTACATACTCCTGCACTTGAAAAGTTTACAGTACAGTATATACATTAAATAATAAAATATATAACAGTAAATCCCAAGATTGGATGTATTGAAACTAGTTATTAGCTAGTTCTTCGCAATTAGATAACACAAAGACAAATTAATAAAGTTATTAACCATTTCTGACACAAATAGTACTTGCAAAATATAGCACATATTTGATATTATAGTCAAATAGAACAGTGTACTGACAGTACTGTATACTATGTATAGATTAAAACTACAGAAAACCTGTACAACACAGAATATGAGTAAAGTTTTCACGCTCCATTTAACTGTTGTGATATTATACGCATTAAGTATACGTTTCTTTGCATTTCCTTTGTAGTATTAGTATATAGCACAGCTCTGAAAAACCAAAACAATATTCGTACACTCCTAAACGCCCGCCATGTTGTATATAAAAATATACGGTTA